CACATTACTTAATGGGTTAAAGACAAGTTAAGGCTAGTAGGTAGCTAATTCTGGTTTCTATTAAAGGCACCATGAAACACAGTTTTTTTTCTCTTACATAATTTACTAGTCACCACAGCCTACTTCTGCAACCAGATGCACAACTGCAAATTTCTTTTATGTTCTGTTAAGTTTTGTCCCTCCCCATAAAATACTCTTCCTGTTCCCTCTCTTTTCTTTTTGCAGACTAAAGTATCTGTGGGGAAATGAAATCAATCTTAAGCATAAATAAATGAATCACATTTTCCTGGGCAGAGCTTTTTCCCCGAAAGATTCTGTGAGGGTTGGTCAGTAATGGGAAAAGTAAAATAAAACAAACATTGCACAACGAATATGTGTCCTAACTTGAACATCAGTCTAACCCTGGCACTAGAAAATTCATACCTCTCCGTGGATAATTTATGTTGACCTTTCTTGCCCATAAGAATAATGAGAAAACTTCTGGAAATCATGGAAACAAGCCATCCAGGATGCACAGAAGAGGATATCAAAATCCCCGCTATATACTTTTGTGGCTTTAATCACAGCTGATGTGAGTGGCATGTGCAGAAACCAAGCTCCACCAGCAACTCCTAGAGATGTTGAGATGAAGGCAGGGACAATACCTTTGGATGCTGATGGAAGTGTATGCAGCAGCAAGCATTCGTATTGTGAAGTGGGATGTTGCACTCACTCCCCACCCCCTGATGACTAGTGCAGAAGTCTTCCCCTTTCTTTGGGGAAGTGCAATGTGGCTATCCGGGCCAAGGCCTCCGTGGCAACCTATGTGGATTTTGGCGTTAGGAGCAAAGGATGCTGCTTGTTTGCTCTGTTTCTTTAATTTCTTCATAATCTGTGAGTCTTACTAACAGTATTGCCAACCTCAAATGATCAAAGATCATGTGTCATACCCCCCCAAAGTCAAGAGACTCCCCCGAAAATAATAAGATTGAAAATGAAGTGTTATATTGAGTTGTTGGGTTGGTCTTTTCAGCTTTAAACTCACCACCCAACCTCAAGCAGGTGGGCGAAAATTAGTATTGCCCAGGATCCCACATTTATGAAGGTGATTTTGAACACAGTTTCAGGAGATCTCACCCCCCCATCTTCCTGTCCACCTCACAGCCGATCAGCCCCCCTCCACCTCACCTCTGCTACTCCTGCTGCAGCTTTTGAGACTCGTCAGGCTATGGGGGAGGAGAGCACAGCAGAGGGGTTGTTTTCTCCCCCTTTCACTAGAGAGGAGGAAGCTAGGCCTAGAATTGCAGCGAGAGAGAGAGGGGAAGTGCTGTTGCACACGAGGGGAGGGGAGAAGTGGGAGCAGAGCTATCATGAGCTGCTGGGCATTTTCTGTTTCCTCCTTCCCCCTCCTGGGAGAATGGAGGGTAGGGAAGAGAATTCTGTCTGTTTCCTGTAGTAGCCTTGATTGGCGGATCTTTCCCAGGAGGTGGAACTGGTGGGAAATCAGCCAATCCGAGGGAGGTTTCCCAAGGCAAAGCTAAAATTTGTGAGAGGATTGAGACCGGTTCTCTTCCTGAACAAACTTGCATGACATGTAAAATCCAAGTAGTGTCAATATTGCACTAGACGAGGGGTCTCCAACCTTTTCAAGCACAAGATCACTTTTTTCAATTGTTAAGTGCAATCCAATGATCTACCTCAAACCCAAATACCCTTGCCAGGCCTCCTTTGTTCCCCTTCTCTGAGGCCCTCGTCCCTGCTCACTCCATCCTCCCTCCATCCCACCAGGCTGGGGCAGTGGGTTGGGGTGCAGGCTTTGGTCTTGGATTAAGGTATTTGGAGTGTGAGGGGCTCGGAGCTGAGCCTGGGACAGGCAGTTGGGGTGCCTGAGGAGGTTCTAAGTGCAAGCTCTGGGAGGGCATTTGGATGCAGGGGTGCTCGGGGCTAGGGCAGAGATCTGGGGTACAGGAGGGGGTTCATGACTGGGGAAGGGTTTCAGGATGTGGGCACAAGCTGGGCATTGTTTACTTCAGGGGGCCCCTGGGTGGTGGTACAGTGGGGCTAAGGCAGGCTCACCAGGCTCACCCCTGCCTTGGCCCTGCACCACTCCCAAAAGCAGCCAGCAAACTCCATCCCAAATCTTGCTGTACCCCCTCTCTGCTCTGTAGAGAAAGGATACAGGGTGGAAGAGGGCACCTGGATATCAGCACCCTCCTCTCCCTCCCCTGCATTGCACAGAATGCAGAGGCTCCTGAAGAGACAGCTACAGGGAAAAGGGCAAGAGATGTGCAGCAGTTGGAGGGGGGAAGGGGAGCTGAAGTGTTGGGCTTGATAACCTCTTAGCCAAACCAGTTAGGGTCCCCTATCAGAGGCTCCAAGATCTACCAGTATATTCCGATCTACTGGTTGGTGGGTGACCACTGTACTAGATGGACTGCTGCTACTGTATTTCATGTACCACACATTGGCTAATAACATGAAAAGACACCATGTTTCTTAAACTAGTTCTCTTAATTAAGAGCCAGTTTAGAGAAGTGTTGCAACTATAGCTAGCATTCCAGCCATGTGTACACAGACTGATTTTCTGGTGCTTCTTCCAAACTCTTCCTTCCTGCAACCTTTACTCTCACCTCTAAATTCCATGTGGCTTGTATAGCCCTGAATACCAAATCACTTAAGCATGCACAACTGTAAAGCACTGACACAGCAGAGGCTCTCAAGCTGGACCCCAATGTAAATAATGTAAATAAGAGAGGGCTGCTCCATCAGGGCACATTGCACAGCTTCTCACCAAACATTTTAAAAAAAGGTGGGAGGACATGCAAGAACAGGAAATCGTTTGAGCGGGGGGAAACCTTTGTTCTGCAAAGTATGTCACGTAGGATGTACTTTTAAATGATATCAAGGGTGCCTGAAATGTATGGATAGGCATCCATTTTAACCTTTTTTACAAATCAATGGGACTAACTGTGTTCAAAGTTTACATCCATGCTGAAATGTTTGGACTGTTGTGCTTGGGTTGTGACTAGAACCTACATGCTGATGTAGGGTGTAGATGTGGTTGGAGGATCCTTGTGCCCTTCTCCCACAAATCACTGAGCACCCACATAAGCACATTTGAGCACTAAAGAGGTCTCTAGTTAAATACTTTGATAAAAGAATCTCTCCTCTGTTTTGTCTCATAATTTTTATAGACACCCACAAGTGATACAGACTGAAAATAAACAATAATCTAAAAATGTATGTATTTAATAGAAAGAATCTGATATACTTCTCATGATGCCTGGTTACCATTTGTACTTCATCTCCAAGCTTGCACAAAGAAAATAGATCACCGAGTTTCATTTCCTGGTTCTAATGCGCTAGCCCAATGTGTCTGGGTTCACAGTGCTACAGAACAATGTTTACTTAAAAAAAAAATATTGACACTTTATTTTTGAAAAGTGATACAGCATTCATATACATTTTGTAATGGCTTCTTGAACCTCTTATTTCAGACCCAAATATTTTGACTGTTGCTTTAATTAAATCTCATTTCACACATTCATTATAAACCAGCTAGCACAAACACATTCACCCCACACATTTTTATTATGGGCATATCTCAGTCACCCTTTAAATCAGCTTCACCAGTCCTCCTGCACACTAAGAATCATCCTTACCATAAAAATGCACCATTTCCCGCAATAAATCTACTTTCATATAAAAATCTTTTGCCTTCAGAATCTCATTTTTCATTTGTTTCCTTAGCTTCCATCTCGGATATCTACATTCCCTTTTATTTCAGCTGGGATTTTTTATAATGTGCAAATTGAAATACTGATTGTATTGCAGCACTTTGCAAATGGTTTTCATTAAGCTTTCAGCTACTTGCTCTGTTGGATATCCGTGTGTCAGCATTACTTTATGTTGGACAGAAATTTGAACCATTTATATTGAACAGAATGACTAAAAATCTAGTAGATAACGACCTTTAAAATGCATTGGCTGATGGAGCTTAATTGCAGGTTCTCAAAATCCAAGTGCTTTGGTTGCTTTAAACTTGACAACCATTTTAAAAAACAGAGAAACAAAATATTTTCTAGGTTGAACATATTTTTAACATCACGTTTATTATGTATCTCAGCAATACTAAACACACAACAAGCACACTGTGAGAAATATATTTAGAGTTTTAAGAAAGTTCTTCCTGTTTAGACTATGAGGTTTTGGAACCTCTGGTTAACGACAATGATTTAAAATAATTTAAACCCTGTTTGTGTGGCAAGTGAAAATGTAAAGTGGTCATTTTGTTGACCAGACTTATCTTGCTGCTTTGAGGGCCATTATTACCTCTTTTTAACTGAGCTTACTAAAATGTATTCCCACTAATATTAGGGTCACTAGAAGACTGAACAATCACATCAAGTAGCCACTTAATTGCAAAGATTTATAGTTGTGTTGCTCTTTCCCCCTTTTGCACCTAAGCTTGTCCTCTGTGCCTGAAATTTACAGAGGTGTTTGCTTTAACTAAAATCATCACTAGTTTATGAGCACAGATGCATGGAAAATCCTTGATTTTACAGATACTGGCTATAAGCAATCAATAACTCAATCAAATTTATTGGGCTTCTGGCAAAAGAGTGTATAATTTCCCAAATAAATTGGCCATTTGTTTCAATGTAAGTTCTGATATCACAATGTCTAAGGTGGAAGGTTGCCATTTTAAATGGCTTCTTGGTTCCAATAGTGAGTGGTTTTACATTCCACATATTACTACTTCATATCAGAATCATTTTCCCCTGCCTTACTAATGCACCTGTTGTCAGTTTAGGTGGCTGCATAATAGAAGATTCAAGATCCCACCACCAAAAACACCAATCCATCAACAGACACACCTCACAGAAATCTATGGATGCAAAACACTATACAACTTCTATAGCACAACTATTTTCAGTGATCTGATGAGAGAAATATAAAGAACATAATTTCTGAATATGTTATCAACTCCACGGATCATGTCCCCGAGACGGAGTACTTACCATTGGAGCGGTGAATACAGGTGTGCTGGTTATCACTCAGGAAAAAACCCTCCTTGCATTGACATTCATAACTTCCCATTGTGTTCACACAAATCTGTTGGCATCCTCCATTGTTATCCAGACACTCATCAACATCTAGGGAAAAAATGAGACTATGATATAGACACGCCGACTGCATATTTAAAATAGCAAGCATCAACCAAAAGGCAGTCTGTAAATTAAGCTAATGAAACATCCATGGGCTCTATTATAGTTAATCCACATTAATCCATTTAATTCCTTTACTCACATCACAGGTTTAAAGTTAACTTTAAAAGAACTACGGGGGTGGTGGGAAAGGGGGTATCCAGCTTAAGCCAGTAGGCATTCTGAGTTGCAAACTGATTTGCAAAGCACAACGAATGTTAATGTTCTAAAGAGCTGTGACTCCATCTGCCAAGAGTGGTGTTGTGCTCTCTTATTCCCTATCCGTTTGGAAAGGCCACTTTGGGCCTACAGTAATGTCTAGCTGGGGTAGGAGCAGGCAAACACAAAGGGCATTATTGGGTGAAAAGAGTCTTTAAAGAGTTTTGGTCTTGCACAGAACAGCATGTTTCAATTACTGAAGTCATAACCCCCTACTTTGTCCATTTGTTTAATGTTGTTTAATTAAAGGAAGGCTTCTTACATCTAAATGTTCCATGTCTATATTGTCATTTTAATAAGCAAATATATAAAACCACAAAAGCAGCATTAGCTACTGACTGTTTTGAGGGTCCCCCTCCTTCCTCTTCTGCCCCTTTCCCCAATTACCTCCCTTTGGTTTGTTTAGCAGAGACATATGTTTTACCATCAGGAAAGCACTGATGCTAAAAGATATACTCAGTATATCTGACCTGTATTCAACCTTGCAAGCACTCTCATCTTTTGCTCTTAAAAGATTGCAGAGTATTCCTGTTCCCTGTTAACTCTTTGGACAATAGAGTCGCTGCCACCCAAGAAACTCACAATTTGTTCCTTTTGTGAGGCATTGCCAACAAACAACCCGCTATATCACAGAGTTCCAACATTTCAGAAAGAGACAAAAACGATAAACGCCTCAGCCGGATTGGCACGACTATTGCAATCATTATTTCTTCAGGAAAGCCAATGGGATATGAAATTGCCAGCCATGTTGCTTAAGCAGGCACACGGCATCCAGGAGATTTGAAGTGCTAGAGAAACCTGATTGGTAATTAACCTGTGATGCAGGGTTGTCTCAGGCATCCCTGCTGAGCTTGGCAACCTACGACCTCAGAGATCCACCTATGTGACTGTGATGTTCGCTGCTCATGACAGAAAATGCAGTCCTTTGTGCAGGTACAGAGCACTGTAATGAGGATAACACAAGCCCTTCAGAGTAAGAATGCCTTCTCCTGTATCCTGAACCAGGATGGGAACAGGTTTCCTTCTTTTGCAAAGAAACTTTGAGGCACTATTCCCTCAAGTTTCCCTCACAACCACCGCTTGCCTCCTCACCATTCTCAACATGGTGTTACTTCCTTTTATGCCTTGACCCCAGGTTTGTGGGTTCAAAGCCTGTCCACCCAGGAGCGTCACCATCCAGCTACTCCATTAGGAAGGCCAGATAAGAGACTCCCTTATCTCTTAGAGAGGTGGGGTGGATTCTGGAGTGGGTTCTGGACTGAACATGAAGGCTATGTCTACACAGCAGTGTTATTTCCAAATAACTGACATTATTCAAAAATAACAAAGAGCATGTCTACACAGAAAGCCATTATTTCGTAACAATGGTGAGCTGGAGGACTTCTTACTCTGATTCCTATAACCCTCATTTCACGAGGAGTAAGGAAAGTCGAAGGAAGAGGGTTCTTCCTTCGACTTCCTGCTGTGTAGACAGTGCCAAAAGCCAAGTGAATCTATTTCGACTTAAGCTACGCAATTGATGTAGCTGAAGTTGCATAGCTTAATTCGACTTTAGAATACATCTACTCAGCAGGGCTAATAGACACATCAGAGCCATGTGATGCTTGAGGTGCAGAAGGGGCTTTGGTTGCTCTGGTAGGGGGGTGAGGGCAGGGACTCAGGATGTAGGAGAGGAAATTGGGTGCAGGCTCAGGATGCCACATATGCTGGCAGCTCTGTGCTCTGCTCCACCCCACCCCCGGCTAAAACTGCTCCCTCTGTTCCCATTGGTCACAGTTTCTCATTCACAGCCAATAGGAGCTGTAGGGGGCAGTCCTTGCAGGCAGGAGTAGCACACCAAGATGCCTGTCCCCCTTACCTCCCCACACACTCCAGGCTGGCCACTCCCAGAAACAGGCTGGCAGGGTGGGGCTGAGATAGGCAAGAGATAGGTTGATTGCAGCCAACTCGGAGATTCCTAAGGATTGACTAAGGATTGACGAGTCAATTGCAGCTGACCAGTTAGTGACCAATGCTGTATATCACTGATTTAACCCTCTATTTTGGCCTTAATCTGACCACGGGATCAGCCTGCCTAAAGCTCATTTTATAACTGTGTTTTAGACGACAATACCCATATCTCCTCTGTTATCTATGGTGTCAAGCATGCACTTAGTTGGAGCTGTCTGAACAACATCCATCAAATAATTTAACTGATAATTTTTGCAAAAAAAATATTTTATGAATTATTTCCTGGCCAGCCTATTGCTAACTCAGATTAGGGCCTAGCCAACGCACAGTGAAATCACAAGAGAAACTTGGACTCAAGTCCTTGCAGATCTGGGAGAGTGAGTCATGGATATTCTCGGATGTCTTCAAAAATTTCAAAGCAAAGAATTCAAGATTTTTTGCATTATTTTCCCGCAATGGTATTGGTGCTCAACACATAAATAGCAGTCAGATAAAACATAGGAACAAGTATTAAGGGCCAGACTTTCCAGAAAGCTCAACTCTCAATTAAGCACCAAAATAAGTGACCAGATTTTCAACAGAGCTCTGCATGCTGGGTGTTGAGCTCTCTTAGAAAATATGGCCAGGACGGAGCACATGAAAATCTGGCCCTCAGTTGTTTGTAAAATCTGCAGGCAGAGACTTAGCTGGGATAAATGTGTCATAACTCCATATGGCAGAGGACCAGTATAAGTCCTAAATCAAGATACAGAAGGAAAATGCCATCTTGGATTAAATAAAAGGCTCTTCTTCTCTTGAACATTTGCTCTAAATTCAAATCAAACGTATTTTAATATTCCAGACTGTGTACCTGATTAGATAGACAGACAGACAACTTTGTTTCTTTGTTTCTGTTTACATTACAAGAGATTTATTTTTTAAAAAAGCAAGCACATTTAATTAGGAGAGCTTGTACATTGGGGTAGGGAAACTTTTTGGGTTAGTGCCACTGACCCACAGAAAAATCAGTCGGGGTTGCACCCAAGTGAGAAACAAACAAAAAAATCCCCACCCTTTACCAGCATGAGCTCCTCAATGCTGGGGGGGAGCCCTGGGCCTCAGGGGCCATATCCAAGCATGCTGGGGGCTGCATCCGGCCCCTGGGCCTGAGCTTCCCCACCCCTGTTGTATATTATCAGTTACTGCTGATTATTCTAGACTATAAGCTCTTTTGTCAGGACTTGTAACCCCATTTTAGGAGGTACTGCTTCCTTTCCCCCATTTCCTGGTATGGCTAAATGAGGTCCCAAGCCTATTTTCTGTTATAGGGTTATGGGGTAATGGTTTGACAAAGGTCGAAGGACCCATCTTCTCAGCAGAATGGCTCCCATATCATGAGAGAGGGGGAGAATCATTCTCACTTGAGCTGATCTCAGGCATCCCATCACGAGCACCTGCACCAATCTTCCCCTCCCACATTGGTTGAGCAGGGAAGCTGCCAGTTCAGGGGGAGAGGGACTGATGGAGCAAAGAAAGGGGCATGGTTTTAGAGGACATGTATTTGGCCACACTCTCAAATGACTGCTGCTCTAACCCTTTCTACCACTGTAGAAGGCACCACTGTAGAAGGCAGTAAAACCAATAAGACACATATGTTCACAGAGTTCTGGTTAGAACAATAGATTGTACAATGTCTGGAGTTGCACTGCACAGGTGGTCACTATCTATGTTGCACTGGCCAAAGGCAGATTGGGGTACTATGCTCTAGCCAGGCTCTGCGAAGTCAAGGAGCACATGCAAGGGACAGCTTCAGGTGGGAAGGGGAGAAGAGAGAACCAAACAGGAAAAAAACGTGGCAAACTCCACAACAGTTTGAAAGAGAAAGAGAATTGATGCAAACATGGTAATAAATTAAATTGTATAAAAATTATGCACAACTTCTTTTACTTAAAACCACCTTGTATCTAGACTTACAGTTTTAGTGGGCATGGAGTCATAGTTAATAACCTGCTGAGGTTAGCTCTTGTGCATGCTTTGGATTTTGTGTTGAGGTAGAGGAGCATGTGTGTGTGTAGCCATTACAGCTGACTGACTATTTTTTTTTAGTAAAACCAATAAACATGCTTCTGGTTTTCAACGAATACATCTGCTAAACCTTTCATAACAGCCCATGTGTATTTCATGTGGTAGTATTCTGAATTAGCCACAACTGAAGATGGCATACCTGTTTCAGCCCATATGCCTAAGGGTCTTGCCTTGAACAATAATTCTTATCAATCATACTTTTTGAACACTGTGACAGGGTGTACCAGCCACGCACTGGGGAAGCAAGCCTTGACCAGGTCCACCTAGTTGAGGAAATCCCGCCCCCGTGGACCTGCTGGGCATGCTCAGACTGCAGCCTAGGTATAAAGGCCTGGAAAGAGGCTCAGTCTGGGCTGGTTGCTGAGGAGGAAGGAGGCACTGCCAGAGTTCCTGGAGGCAAACTGCTGGAGGGGCCAGACCTGGAGACCAGCCAGTGAGACACCAGCGCTACTGCAGAGGATCTGAAGGAAGGACCTTGGAGGAAGGAGTCCAGAAGAGACTGGTAGGGAGTAGTGATTGTATCCCAAGGAGCTCAGCATGTTGCGGTAGGAGTCCCTGCTGAGCGAACACTAATAGACCACACCACTGCTAATAGAGCCCTGAGCTTGGACCTGGTGGAGTAGGGATGGCCCCTTTAATCCCCAACCTGTGGATGGGCTGCTACTGACTCCAGCTATTAGGCCATACTGCTTCAGCGAGTGGGGTATTCAATATTG